AATGTCGCAGCTCTTTGCTGCTGTGAGCGTCCAGACTGAAGATCAGCGCCTTCTCCTCATCCTCCTCCTCCTCCTTCTTCCTGGTTCCTCGCCGGCCGACGGAGCGTTTCACGGCAGCTGCAGAGGACGGAAACACCCAGAATAAAACCAACTGACAAACCTGCTCACACAGGATCTGGTTCTCCAGATAAACAGTAAAATGTGTTTGTGAACAGAATCTGGATCCATATCTGATCAGCACTGTTTGACAGTTTGATCTGAGTTTGGTTGAGCTGGACGGACTCACTGAGAATGAGCTGTCAATCACAAGGTAGCCCCGCCCTAAAGCATACCCTGCTTTATGGTCTGTTTTACTCTAAATGGGACCATCAGTTACTAAATGAACATCATGCTGTATGGAAGAAGACTGAAACTAGAGACTGAGACCAGAAACTCATCAGGAAACTGTTTACTGAGCTCATTGATCTCCATAAGACTCCATACTATCAGAGTGGAGCTGCCCCCTGCTGGCTGTTAGAGACACTGCAGCTTTAACCCAGAAGCTCTGTGCTTTATATATACTGCCAACAACTCCCATGATCCCTCACTACTTCACCACATTGTGACACTTGTTTGATGTGAAGCAGCAGAAAGGTACATAGATACATAGATAATAGAAGTTGTTCCAGGTTTATAAGAGATTACTGAACACATCGTGGGTTTATAATCACCCCGGCTCCGCCCACATGGTGCTGATGTAATTCTCACCGTCGTCTTTGTCGTCGGGCAGCTGCAGGAGGAAGTTCAGGATGTTGATGATGGAGGTGAGCTGGTCGGTGACCTCGAACTGACAGCAGAGAGCGATCCAGAAGTCCATGTCTCTCTCCAGAGCTGCATCCTGCACTCAGAACACACACACTTACTCAGAAACCCGGTCTCTCTGGTCCAGACTCTCACCAGTCCTCCAATCAGAGACGACTTGCCTTTTCGCTCACAGAGCTCGCCGTCTGCGTGGCGTGCAGCTTGAACAGGAGGAGCATCAGGACCCAGAGGAAGCGGGCGGGGCCCAGCGTGGTCACCAGCTGGGCGAGGATGGGCAGCCGCCGGTGATCGGGAACATGTGGCAACGCGTCGGCAAACACGTGCACGATCCTCGTCACCACGGCGTCCACCTGAGACGAAGAGCCGTCGACAGAGAGCTGCTGGGCCTGAAGACAGGGACACAGAGACACAGATTCATCTGCTTTATGTGTTTAATAACTCATTTCTTCATCTTTGTCCTTTTATTTCCACCAAACCAGTCGGACAGACGGTGCATTAACTTTAGCTTACACTGAGACCGTTGTTGTCCTCAGCTAAAGAATGTCTCGTATTCTCTGGTACACAAGTTTCTTTGAGACCTCCTGTTCTATAATTACATCTAATAATATAAAAATAATACTATATATAATATATAAACACTTTGTATATTTTGACAAATGAACTTATTACTGATGGAAAACATGATGAAAATAACAAAAAACATTCGACCCAAGTTGTATTAAACCAGAATAATCCAGCATACTGTTGTTGTATCACCATTATTATCACACACTATATGTCTAATGAAGATATTGTGTGTCTGAGGATCAATACCTTGATCAGAGCCGGTATGACCATCTGAACCGTCTTGTCGATGACTCTGAAGCTGTAGGCGTCGTCCAGTCGCATGATGTTGGCTCCCATGAAGGTGAAGATGGGCATGATGTTGTGCAGGACTTTCTCCTGGAGGACGAAGAGGAGACAGAAAAGGAAGAGAGGAAGATAATCTGTCTGTTATTGATCCCAGCGGTCGGTTTTACTTTACTATGAGCTACGTTAGCATAGCCCCGATCAACCAAACTCCATTCAGAAAACAAACATTTTAAAAGCTGTTAGCTCTGAATTCAGAATCATGATGTCGTTACTTCAGTAACATATTGATCCGTTTATTGACATTAAATCACAGAAATATCTGATTATTCTGGGCTCAAACCGCCATAAGTAACAACACTGGGACATTGTTTCCTGACTAATGACTGCAGATGAGTTTAATTGAGTATCTGACAATGAACGGACTAACGGTTGCAGGTGTACTCACAGGGAAGATGGTGGCGGCGGTGCCCAGCAGCAGCAGAGCGTGGTGGTGCGTCTGCGGCATGTCGGACGCTCTGATGCACTGAACCACCAACTCCACGCTGAATTTATCTTCATCCAGGACGTCTGCAGAGAAAATCACAGAGAGGTTCTGTTTGAGTTCCTGCAGCGGAAAACAACAGCACCGATCCGACAGCAGTTATCAACCCACCTGCACCCACAGCGCCGCCATCAGGGGACAGTTTGTGGCAGACGTTGAGCAGACAGCTGAGCAGCAGCTGCTTGGTGTACTCCATGTTGGTGTGATCACCTGAACACGGCTCCAGACTCCTGCACGCACACACACACACACACACACACACACACACACACACACACACACACACACACACACACACACAAACCTTCATTTATTCACCTTCACATAAACACTGATTCCAGCTAACGGTGAAATGTGTCGCTGATGTTACCTGGCGAGCAGGGAGAACAGAACCGGCACCAACATCTGGGCTCTCTTCAGCTTCTTCTTGTGCTGCAGCAGCTCCAGGATCAGTGTGACTCTCTGCCACGACACAGCGCCACCCTCTGGATCCACATCACCGCTCTCCTGAGGTTTCCTAATCACACAAATACAGCCTCATCAAATCTTTTGTTTCCAATCAAAAGAAACACGATACATCTCTTTTACCATCCACTGTTTAGATCTTGGTGCTTTTTAACTCTAGATTTGAACCAGATGAAGGATTTTAGTCATCGGACGTCTGGATCTTAAGTTATCAGAGAAACAAGCTGAGCTAACGTTAGCAGCAGCTCGGCTCGCAGCCCCTCCGGGACGTCCTTTGTCTGTCCAACAGCGTGGGAGAAGCAGTGATTGTTAAGGTGGAACTGCTTTATTCAGTGTGTTTAAGGTGGAACTGCTTTATTCAGTGTGTTTAGTGGTTTTAATCAGCGGGTCTGTTTGTGTTGGAGAGGAGGAGACCTCTGTGGATCATTGGGCTCCCGGTAGAAACCTCCTGAACCATGAACACTGAAGGAATCCTAACCGGGAGAAGCTGACTGCAATGACGCCAATGGTGGTGAAGACAACAACTCCCATGATCCCACACTGCTTCACTACCTCATCACACTTCCTGTTTTCTTATAGTTTGTATGTGCCCTCTAGTGGCAGAAAGTACACACTGTAGGTTTAATAATTACCTCTGTGTCATTCTGCTCCTGCGGGTCTGCTGCACCGTCACACTGACTTTGGGTTTTTCCGGTGGAGCGAGCTCATTGGCCACCAGCTGACCGTCAACTGCAATCTGTTGGAAACAGAAATAAAGGTCAGAGCGGTTGGGTCTCGGTCTCTCTCTCTCTCTGTCTCTCTCTCTGTCTCTCTCTCTGTCTCCTCACCCCTTTAAAGACGCTGCTGATGGTGTTGGCCACCAGAGGACTCCTGCTCTCCACCAGCAGGTCGAATATCACCGACAGCAGCTTCTGCTGCACCTTCTCGTCTCCCAGGGCTGGGAAGAACGGCTTCGTTATCTGCAGGGAGACGACCAAGAGACACGTCACTAAAGAAACATTATCTACAGACACACCACAAGCCCATCACCTTCCTCTCTCTTCATCATCACTCGTTTAACCACAATTTAGTCCCGATTTTAACCTGGAGACTGCTTTGCCCTCTGGCTCATCCTTAGTTTTAAACCTCAAAGCCCCACGTTTTAAACTTATATTATTAATATAAAATATTAATCTCTTCAGACTGGTTTTTATTCCACCCTGGTTTGAAGTCCAGGTTCTGGTCAGACGGACCTGTTCCAGTGCAGAGATCTGGCAGCTGGGGATGTCGGGGTGCTGCTGAATCGAGGTCCTCAGAGCTCGGATAAACAGATCCAGACAGTTCTGGTCCCCGGCCAGCAGGGGCGCAGACGCCTCGTTGTACTTCCCCAGGACGAGCTGCATCAGCTGGGCCTCGGCCCGCAGCAAGGTGGGGGTGTCTGGCCCGCTCTGCTCCAGGAGGCGATCCAGAACAGGGAGCAGGGCCGAGAGGACTGCCTGGGGGGGGGGAATCCAGGTGAATGAAGTGACATGTTGTTTAATTTGCTTTGATGGGATTTCAGCGTGCAGGTGTGTTCCCGCTCTCACCTGTCCGTTGACGTGGCTCAGCACTCGCAGCAGGCCGGCGGCGCTGTACGACGGGCAGCTGGGAGTCTGAACGCTCTGCAGCAGCTGCCGCATCGACGACTGCAGCTTCGTCTGCTGCGTCTTCACTTTGACGGTCTGACACTCATCATAAAGCACGCCGAGAGCCTGTGGGGGTCACATGATCAAACACACTTCTGCTTTAACACTGCATGGACTGACTTCATAAGCTCCGCCCCTCTTCGATCTCAATATTGATCCAGTTGTAAAATTCAAATGTTTCATATAATTATTAAATCAAGCAGCTGTGACTCACCTGGCTCAGGTACGAAGGGTCAGCGATGATCTCCTCTGGCGTCTTCAGAAGCTTCTCTGTGATTGGCTGGAAGGGAGAACCTTTGGCTCCTGATAGGCTCTGCAGAGCACCGAGGGCCGCCCTCCGGACCTCCCGAACCGGAGAGCTGAGGCAGCAGAGCAAGGACGGGAACACTAAGAGAGAGAGATGGTTATATAAAACCAAGCAGCACTTATCTGAGCTGAACATCCTTAAGAACAATGAATCAATCACATGTTCATCCTGAGGGGAACATCAAAGTCTGAACCACGTTAGGGTCCAATAGTTGGGATATTTCAGTCGCTGCAGACCGACCTACAACCCGACTGTCCCTTTAAGGCCCATCAGGTTTTGGTTTCTTACCGGGCGAGTTGGCGGCTGCCAGCTCCTCCAGCATGGCGGTCGGTTGGGCGCCCAGTAGAGCTCTACCCATGTACAGAGCTTGAGTCTGCAGGACGGCGCCGACCTTCACGTCCAGCTGGTCTCCGTGGTTACTGCCGTATCCCCACAGCACGCACAGGAACCGGAAGAGCATCGGCGGCTCGCGCAGGTGAACCTGGAGGAGACCGACGTGATGTTTGTTCAGACTCTCGTGTCTATACACTAAATATAAAGCTAGCAGCTGGTTAGCTTAGCTTAGCATAAAGTAGCCTAAAATGACCTTTAACTTTCAATTGATACAAAACAACAGCAGCTTTATGCTAAGCTACGCTAACCTGCTGCTGGCTGTAGCTGTAGTGATACAGATCTTAAACTCCTACCTGGATGAGGAGTTTCATTAAGTCTCTGAAGATGCCAGCCGCCGGCCCCTCCCCGGCGCCGCTGATGGTGACGCTGAAGAGGCGGCAGAGGAGGCCGAGGTAGCAGCAGGTGTTTGTATCCAGCTTCTCCGGGTTCCACCACACCTCACCTGGAAGAGAAACAACAACATGCTGCGAGGTGTCTCATCAGGTCCACAGTGGCAGTCAGCACATCCAGGAGGGAGGTTACCTTTGAAGGAGGTGTCGTGACACCTGAGGGAGGAGATGAAGTCTCTGAGCAGACACATCAGAGCGAAGCCGTACTCTCTGTCCAGCCGATCCCCGGGCTGCTGCACACACCTGCTCAGGTACGCAGTCAGGGCTTCAGAGAAGGACGAGGGGACGCGGCCGTGACTCTCTGCTTCCTGTTCAAGCACAACAACACAAACAACCACAAAGTATTAAAGTCGGGTGGAGACGCAGTTATAACAAACCATACTGAAAGATTATTGAGCTGTAAACACACTGATGGTATCGTACTGTTCTAGATAAAAGTTATTATTCATTCAAAAGTCTCACAATACTTCCAAATAAATGTCACTGTTTATATTAGTTGAACTCAATAATAAAGTTTCTTCTGATTAACTCATTTACAGTTGATGTTCCTACCTGAGAACAATGACATTTTTTTATTCTTATACAGTATATAGACTTTTATATCTGGTCTGACCTGGGCGGTGTCGTCCCTGGTGACCTCCAGCAGGGGGCGCTCCAGCAGCATGTAGACCCTCTGAGCGGTGAGCAGGTGCTGGGTCTCGCTCAGCTCGCCCAGGCCCAGCAGCAGAGTCTGGGTCAGCACCAGGAAGGAAGCCCTGGCTCTGAGTCCGGATCCCCGCTGCTGCTCCTCCACAGACAGAGCCAGCTTCTCCAGCTGAGGAACACAGAGACCACGTCAGAGAGAGAGAGAGAGAGAGAGAGAGAGAGAGAGAAGACAAGAAGAGAGCACAGAGAGAGAACAGAGAGAGAGAGAGAGACAGAGAGACAACAACAACAGAAGGAGAGAGAGAGAGAGAGAGAGAAGAGAACAGACAGAGAGAGAAAAGAGAACAGAACAAGAGACAACAGAAAGAAAAAAGAAAGAAACAGACAAAAAAAAAAGAGAGAGAAAAACACACAGAGAAACAAAAAAAACAAAAAACAACAGAGAGAACACAGAAGAAAGAAGAAGAAAAAAAAAAAACAGACAGAGAAAGAGAGAGAGAGAGAGAGAAAGAAAACACAGACAACAAAACAGAAAACAGAGAAACAGACAAAAAGAAAAACAGACAACAAGAAGAACAGACAAACAAGAGAAACAACAAACAACAGACAACAGACAGAGAAGAGAAAAAAAGAGAACAAGAAGAACACAGAGAAAACAGAGAGAGAGAAAAAACAACAACAACAGAAGAGAAAAAGAAAAAAAGAGAAAACAACAACAACAGAAAGGAAAAAGACAAAAGAGACAGAGAGACAGACAGACAGACAGACAGACAGACAGACAGACAGAGAGAGAGAGAGAGAGAGAGAGAGACAGAGAGAACAGAGGGAGAGGGGGACAAGGGGGAGGGGAACACAGAGAGACACACAGACAGAGAGGGGGGAGAGAAAAAGACAGACAGAGAGAGAGAGAGCACAGACAGACAAGAAGAGGGGGGGGGAAACAACAGAGGGGCAGAGAGAGAGACAACAGAGAAGAAGAGAGAGGAGAGAACACAGAGAAGAAGAGACAAGAGGGAAGAGAGAGACAAGACAACAGAGAGGAGGAGAGAGAAAGACAAGAGAGACAGAGAACAACAGAAAAACAACAACAACAAAAAGAAAGGGAAAAAGAGAGAGGAGGACAACAGAGAGAAGAGAGTGTGTGTGTCTCAGAGCTCCATTAAAAACCCGTCTGAGACAGAATAACGGAGCTGAAGGTGTGAAGAACTCACAGCGTCCCGTCTGGAGAAGTGCTCCATGTTCGCCAGGTTCTTGGTCAGCATGTAGACGAGACGCTGGTTGGCCAAACCTACAAAGTCGGTTTCAGAGCTCCTCTTCATCACCTCATCCAGCTCTGTGAGACAGAAAAGCTCCAGGGTCAATCACACACCGAACCTCTTCTACAGATCCCCTTCCAACTCTCAGTGTCTCTGTAATTAAAAAGGTTTTCAGTGTTTCACCTTGAGCCCAGTTCAGGGTGAGCGGGTGTTGGCTGACGATGGAGGATCGGGCGACGCAGGTGGAGAGGTGGGGCTGAGCGGAGGTGATGACCAGGAAGGGCAGCAGCCTCCAGCCCGCCCTCAGCAGCAGCTCGGAGTCCCCCTTTCCCAGCCTGGGGTCGGACAGCAAACGCACCGCCTCGGTCAGCACCGGCAGCCTGGAGGAGGGGACGCACATTCTCAGGTCATCAGTCTCTGTTACTTTATTTATGAGCATTTAATAATGATGTGTTCACTGACCAGTGCTCCGCCACCGACAGATCCACTCTGTGCAGCAGTGACAGTAAACACAACACGGTGTCTTCAGGGTCCAAAACATCAAGCAGCACCTGAAACAGAACGCGGTTCACCATTACCAGACTGGCCTCTAGGGGGCGCTGCAGCGTGTACCGCCATCGATCGCCCAGCCGACCATCTCACTCACCTCCAGGACTCTGAGAGCGGCGGCCACGACCTCCGGCACGTCGTCCTTCAGTCGGTCCACGGCGGCGTCTTTCAGGAAGCCTTCGTCCAAACTCTGCTGCTGAGGAGGAAACGGGACCGTGAGAACCAGGAAGTGGTTGATTCTAACGGGATCTGTAAACAGGAAGTGACCCGCTGTACCTGTCCGGAGGTGATGATGCTCATCAGGTGCTCCACAGCCAAGACTCTGACTGAAGGCTGCGGGTGTTTCAGACTGAGGAGCAGCGACGTGTCCGAGTCGCCCATAATCTGCACGCAGACACACCAACCGATCAATAATCAATCACACTGACATTGATTACCTGCAGTCAGCTGACCACGGTGTTTGTGTACCTGGTATTTTCCGCTGCTCATGGACAGCGAGAGGAACTGATGGAACAGCTGTTTCTGCTCGCTGCTGCTGATGTCGGTCACGTGACCTCCGAGGACGCCGTCCAGAGCGCCACAGTACCTGAGGGAGGACAAACACACAGCTGACGCTCGCTCCAGCTCCTGGCTGCTTCATATTCTACTGATCAATAACAACAACAGCTGGTCCTCAGTGGGGTGGAGGGATCCAGCAGAGCGTCTCGCAGCAGCAGTCGGACTCACCTGGACTCCAACAGTCGAACCAGAGGCAGCAGGCGCCGGTCGAGGGCGGACATGTTGTCGGCAGAGAGCTCGGTCTGACTCAGGTACTCGTCCAGCAGCGACCTGCGGGAGGAGCAGAGCGCTCAGTGTACAGGGACGCACGGCGGCGCTGTCCGCCTCATTTAACTCATTTACCTGCGTCGCTTACCGAGCCACAGTTCGGTCCAGCCCGTCGGTCAGAGGGACCGACTGCAGGATGGACGCCAGCACGCCGAGCTCGTCCGTCTCACCTGCGACAGACGGCGACAGGTAAACAAACACGAGCTCCACTTTCTCTTCCTGTTACATCACCAAAGACCTCACACAGCCTTTAACACGGTTCTCACCTGAGCTGCAGGTGAACACGGCGCCGACCAGGTGAGGCAGCAGGTGGCGCAGCAGAGGACTGACATCATGAGCCGCCGCCATGACCTGCAGCGTGGAGACCAGCGCCGGCATGGAGCTCAGACGGCTGAAAGCTCTGAGGACGAACACAAACAGTCGGGTCAGATCAGCAGCCGACAAACCCGCCACCAAACCTTCCACCCGGCGCGGTCCTACCTGGGCCCGGCGGCGCCCTCCTTCTGGTTCTGCAGCAGCACGATGAGGCAGCCGACGCCCTCCTTCGCCAACACGGGCTCTTTGAGAAGAGACTTGCTGATGTGCACGGCGAGGGTGTCGACCAGACTCGCCTCCATCACCACCTTCACCGCCAGCTGGCACACGATCATGTAGGTGGCGGCTTTATAGTCGGTCAGCGGCGCCTTCAGACCCTGAGGACGGATTCAAAGGTTCACACGATGCTTTACTGTACGTCGTGAGGCAGACATCTCCTCCGACCTCCGACCTCCTCTGGATCTGAAACACCATACCTTCTGAACGTACGGCAGCAGTTTGGAGATGATGGTGTCGGACACTCTGTCCACGGCGTCCAGGGCGGCGACGATGGTGGACGCGTAGAACGAGAAGATCACTCTGAGCTGGGAGCAGCTTCCTGAACGTCCCGAGTACGCCTGAGAGAGAGAGCAGCAACGAGAGCGTCTCTGTTAGCATCTGTTAGCTGCAGGTTAGCGGCGGTACAGGTGTAAAGTGGGCGGAGCTATGAGGTGTTACCTGGATGGCCTTGGTGACCATGGTGCAGATGAAGTCCATGAAGCTCAGGTCTGTGTAGCAGTGAGTGATCAGGGTTCCTCTGGACAACGGCACGCCGGGTTTCTGAACCACAACAACACAACGTCAGCGAGTGTGTGTGTGTATGTGTGTGTGCAGTGTGTGTGTGCGCGCAGTGTGTGTGTGTTGTGTGTGTGTGTGTGCAGTGTGTGTGTGTGTGTGTGCAGTGTGTGCAGTGTGTGTGTGTGTGTGTGTGTGTGTGTGTGTGTGTGTGTGTGTGTGGT